GTCTGCAGGATATGTGTTTGTGTTTTTGCTTGACAATAAGATTTTTATTGATAAAATTAAACAATCAATGCTCAAGTAGAATACCTCGTTAAAATTTCCCCAAACTAAGTGGAGGAAAAAGATACATTCTATCCGACGATACAAAAAGAGGATCTAAAAGGAAACTACACCAAAAATATATCACCAGCTATGTTGATCACTCCCATGTGAACTATGCTCTTAAGACCAAATGCCACCACCAAGATGGAGGGTGTGTTGTCAATGACTAAAAAATATTCTGAAAAGATATTACTTTGTAATCACCCAAACAATTAAAAAAATATAATTATAAATAAATAATTTATATAGTATTTGAATATATGATAACATAATTATTAAATATGAATGTTTTTGTAAAAAAAATAAGAGTATGATAATGGTATACCTCAGATGTATATGATTGTTGTAGGACCAAATCTGTATAAATTAAGCCAGGCATAGCGATTGTAATTCCGATATCTGATCCAAATTCAACCCTCAAAGTCTCGTAAAGCTGATTAGCGCTGCCTTTGCTGCCTGCTCATGCCATACAGATTTTACAATTGACAACAATTATATTGACAGGGTATAGTGAAGCATGCATGCATACATACATGCATACATGTATAGAGAAATAAGAGACTTCTTACATTGTAGAAGCAGTGTTTTGGAAGAGGAATCCATCAGCAATTGAAGCAATCACAATGATTTTGCCTTTGTTCTTCCTCAGGTGTGGAACTGCGAAATGAGTTCCATATACCGAACCCCAGAAATTCGTGCTCTACGCAGTAAAGAGATGTGTATTCATTTCAACGGAGAATTAATGTTAAAGAATCTTTTAGTTATATATCCATTTTGACATTAAGTTATATTATAATTCTCGATATCTGATTTTGATATTTATGTGTAACGTACCATTATACGATCGAAATCTGAAATTTGAGTTAAATCTTCAAACATGCTAAGTTGAACGATCCCAGCGTTGCTCACCAAGTGATCCCTGTTTGTATTAATGAGATTAACATATGGCTTACGGATTAGTCAAGTGTTAGTGTTTCGATACTAAATTAAAAATAATGGGATGCACTCGGCCCCTGCTTACGGCATCCGAAGTACTCGACAGCTTTGTCGATGATGATTTTGCAATCTTCCGGTTTCGAAACATCGGCAGGAACGATTAGAACATCCGGTGAACCTAGCCGGCGAGATTATCGGCGACTGTGCTAAGACGATCTCTCTTCTGGCCACAAGAGCTAAGCGAGCTCCTTTCCTGGCATACTCGTACGCAACATGCTACAACAAAACAGTGAAGCAAGGGCTGTAAACTGAGTCGATAGACTTGGAATTTTATGTTAAAAGATATAAATTTATAGGAGGCGAGTACATATCTTTAACCAAAAACATAAAAAAATATTTAAATTATATGAAAATTCATTCTTAAAACTTAGAATCCGCTCATACTAACATAAACATTAAAAAATGAATATTTTTTTTATCGGATACGAATCAATATATGATGATATGAATAACATAATTTACCTCTCCGATACCGGATGATGCACCGGTGATGAAACCACTTTTCCGGCTACATTTTCGGAGCGGAAAGATCTGAGAATATATCTAATAAGCTTGAAAATCAGATATGGTGGCAAGAAAAAGACGAGGAAAAGGATGACAAAAAGAGCGGGAACATGATGTTGAGGAGCTGGTGAATGGAATCCATGGCTCAGTTGGCTGGTGAAAATGGTCCACTCATTCTAGATGTCTATGACAACAAAAGCATAGATTTATTAAATTGTAATACAAAATATTTATTTTATAATAAATATATAAATTAAAAAATAAATTCAAACCAAATAATCACACTATTAAATTTACACCCTTCAAGCCACCTACCAAAAATTCAGTTTAATGAAACTACATAGTATTTAGGGTAGACTATATTTCAAGCCATTTAATTATTAAGTCGGTGAGAAGCTTATCATACTTTTTAATAAAATTATAATTAATATTTAATTAAAATATTATTATAAATATATCACTTTACCGTTAAAATTAAAAAAAAAAACATAATATGTCACTTTACCGTTAAAATTATTTATCAAATTTGATATGGTTATTAAATAATAATTACTTCAATCAAATCTGCTGCATACGATTGGATTTTTAATTTCAAATAACGATTCAATTAATTAACGAAATAGTTTTATTAATATCTACATCAAAACATAAAAATGAATTTCTTTTTAATATGAGATAATGCCACAATACTACAATTGTCTATTTAACATTTTTTTAATCGTAATGAGGCCCTTCCCATAGTCTGGTTTTGCACGTGGCTTTAGCAATATCATACAAAACGCACTCTTTAAAAAAACATTTTTTTAATCATGAATTTCATCAACCTCTTTTATAAAAAAAATGACAACTTAACCTTTCTACTTTAATTAAGAAGATACTAATTTAGTTGTTGTAAAAAAGTAAACCTGTATAATGATTTTTTAATTTGTTGCATATAAATTTAAAAAGATACGAATTAAATTTATAATTTATACAATAATACATGGATCGACATAAAATAAGAGTTTAATTTTTTTAATTGAAAAAAACAATACTTTAAATTAATATATTTATTATTAGCCCAATCTATAAAAATTTTATGGATTTGCAACTATAATATATATATGGGTCAGGATCCACTCACACTATGTAAAACTTATAAGTTTTACATCTTTTTAGGATCGTTGGAACATGAGAAATCAAAGGTTGAGATTAATAGTTGAAAATGAGAAGATGTTCACTAAAAAAACAAGGAGTTAATCTTAGTTTTACAACCTTTGATTTCCCCTCATCCTATGATCCTAAAAGATTGTAAAACTAAAAGAGTTTTACACAGTGTAATTGGATCCTAACTCTTATATATATATAACTCTTTTAGCTTTATTTTGGACATTCGTTTTTTTTAAAAAAATAACGGTGATGTTGATGTATCAACGCTGTTAACCGAGCTTGATAAGTGACTAAAAACCCCTTAAATTGAATTTTAGGATTTTTTTCAAATTTTTTCGATGCTCAACGGTGCCCCATGCGCCTCCACGTGCCATCGCTATGCGTGTTGCTTTCCACCATCTGGAGGATTTCTGGAACGAGTCAATCCGACTACTGACTTGCTTCTGACCTGACCGTCTAACCTGTCTGGCCCAATTCTTTTCAGTCTAAATCTGTCTGGCCTAAACCGACCCAACTGAACTGGATCAACCTGGTCCAACTGAGCTTAGCCGACCCGAGCTGAGATTCGTTAACCCGGAAATGTTTAGTTTTTTTTAAAGCTAAAGTGATTGCGAAGTAGTATCTATTCTAAATACTCTCAACTATTTGACAATGAATGCTCAATCACCTTGTTGTAGTCGCTGGTGCTCGAACCCGTGATATCCAGGAACAACAATGGTTGACCCTTGTTCCCATATGTAATGGGGTAAGGGGGATGTAAGATAGTAGTAGGCTGCCCCCAACACCAGGTTGAGAGCAGCTTCCGTAGGAGACCTCCGAATTATGAAATGCCCTCCGTGGGACTCGATCCCATGATATAAATTGGTTCGTGCAAATGCTTAGTATTTTTAACATTTTTACATGATTATTTGGGTATTGAATATATTATTGATTTGAGATATATTTTTATGAAGGTAGTTGTGTTTCCCCTGATCTAGGTTCGACTAATTATGATGCTTTCCACCTGACATATAAGCGCGATCCACATGTGCATTGAGTTTTGATATTTGAATTATCGTATACTTTTGACATGATCTCTAATAATCGTATTTTCGTATTTGATTCTAGAATATGGAATGTGTTTATGTTTTAACGAATTAAACTCCCGTTTTCACTCAAATACATGCATATTTCTACCATTTGGTGGTATTATTTGAGGAAGTCTCTTAGACTTAGTCTATGACTTGTAAAACCTTACTACAAGCTCCTCTGCTTTGTACATAAGGTAATTTCTTACTTAGGTCTTATGCTATAAGTATAAGGTCTTTACGGGTGTACAGGTGAGTGTATGATTTAGGGGAACCTACAAATTTGGTGTTCGAATGTGGGTAGTGTTCATGTTTTAAAAGCATTTTATAAATTAATTTTTACCGAAGTATTTATCTGATTGTTTTTTATACACTGCAAGGAGCACATTGTTTTTTTAGCTCACTCTTTATAAATTAATTTAAATTTTGTAAATCTTGATTAATCTAGTAAAAATACTTTGTATAAGTGGTAATGATATGTGTATATATTACATGTATATTTATGTATAATATATATTTTTTTAAAATATTTTTTTATTTTTAATAATGTATAAGTAATTATTTTATAACTTGTTATATATATATATATATATATATATATATTCATTTTTTATATTTTTAATAATAGTCCTAGTATTTTTTAAATATATTTATTTATTTATTTGGCAATATAATTTAATTTTTAATTTTTTACATTTAATTTTTTGGATATTTGAATAATTTTATATTTATAATTTAATTTTTTTTAAAAATTAAATAAGCCCTTAAACTTAAAGAAAATTTGGCCCTCGGACAAAAAAAAAAAAAATAATTTAGCTTATCTGCCATGTCTTCTGTCACGTTATTATCCACAGTGAACTGTCATATCAATACCGTAGACCGTCACGTCAGCACCATGAACTACCATGTAAATAATATAATGGTCAACAATAAAAAACATTAGTCAAAGGATCACATTAAATTTATTTTCTGAGTTAAAAAGTCACATCAAAAAATAATAATACGAGGGCACATTAATTTTATTTTTCCCAAAAGTATAGGAGTCTTGGATGTCTTTTTGCCAAAAAGAAAATAATTTCCTTAATTAGTAACAAAGACAAAGAGCACTCAGCTTTAATAAAAAAAAAAGGCTTTATAAACGTGCTTTCTAGAACGTATAATAAACTGAAGCCATCGGTAATCGGTATGTTATCCGTTTTAAACACAATCACAGTAACTGCACCCGTCAATCATTTGCAAACTGAGCTCGTGGATTTCATTCACCACCTCCTCCGCATCATATTCCCTCTTTTAACCATCCTCTTCCTCTCTTTTTTCATGCCACCATATCTCATTTTGAAGCTTATTAGCAATATTTCAAGATCTTTCCGCCCCGAAAATGTAGCTGGAAAAGTGGTTCTCATCACCGGTGCATCGTCCGGTATCGGAGAGGTAAACTACGTTATTCATATTATCATGTATGCTTCCTATCCGATATAAATATATTCACTTTTTTTAATATTTACGTTTTCTTAAATATGAGTAGGTTCTACGTTCTAGGAATAAATTTTCATATAATTTAGATATTTTATTTGTATTGTCGGTTAATAGTTTTTGTTTTATAAATTTATTGTTCTAACATAAAATTTTATGTCGGTCCCAATTTGGTTCAACTTATACCCCTTGGTTCATTGTTTTGTTGTAGCATATTGCGTACGAGTATGCAAGGAAAGGAGCTCATTTAGCCCTTGTGGCCAGGAGAGAAGATCGTCTTGGTGCAGTGGCCGATAAATCTCGTCGGTTAGGTTCACCGGATGTTCTAATCATCTCGACTGATGTTCTAATCATCCCGACTGATGTTTCGAGATCGGAAGATTGCAAAATCGTTGTCGACAAAGCTGTCGATTACTTCGGATGCCATAAGTAGAGATTTCCCTAAAAATACTTATTGTCAATGTTATGGTCCGTTTGACAATGTTTTCCAAAAGTACTTTTAGCAACAAATCCGTTTTGACCGTAAAATTAAAGTTAAATAGGTGAAAAGTGAAGGAAAAAATGCGATGAAAATGGTGATTTCAAACCAACCGCAAAAGATAGGATTTCTATTTTTTCATTTTTAATTTTGTATTTGGAAACAAATTATAATTTTACCCTTACTGTTAATATATTAAAGCTCTACTCTCTTTCTTTCTTCTATTCTCTCTTCTTTATAATTTTTGTTAAATCAATCCAATTTTTTTCTCTCCTTTAATTTTGTTTAATAGACTGAGACATAGATTTTGATGTTAGTTTCTGCCCGCTGGTTATCTTTTTTTTAATAAGAATAATTATGTCTTTGTGACATTTTTTTGCCTTTATGTCTCGTTTATCTTTGTTTTTGTGTTACGTTTATCTTTGCCTTTTGGTAGCTTACGGTTTTTTCGTTGTTTTCGTTTATCTTTTTTTCTAGGGTTTGATTTAACATCATCACGATTTATCAAGATGGCGTTTATTTGTTATAATAATGATCTTTCCTACTTTTGACCTTCAGATTGATTTAGATACGCGCTTTGCATTTGTGTATAGTTTTTCACGTCGCTTGACTCTGATTTGCGATTTGTCGGTGTCCTTCAGTAGCTTCATCCCCTTTTGTGGTTCGTTTGCCGATGCAGTTAGATTTTTTTGTATCTTATTATGTTCGAGCTTTTTTGGTAAGATTTTTTAATCTTTTCCTTATTTGATCCTTGTGTGATCTAGGTGGCTAGTTTTTGTATCAATAGTTATAGGAAAATATCTTAATTATAATTTTATTTACGTTTACGTTATACTTGTAAATCTGCATTGTAATTCTAGATATTCTATTCTTAATAAAACTAGCGGCTTTCTGTCAAAAAATAATTTTACCCTTACTAATGCATAGGCACCACTCATATGTATTTATATTTTATTTTAATAATTTAATACTAACATCCTTAAAAATAATTTATTTTTTAATAATTTATTTAATATTTAAAAATAAATAAAATTAATGATTTATATATTAAAATATTAATAGTGAATCATATAAAATAAATTCTTATATATTTTTTATTATAGTTTAATTTGATATAATTCATATATAATAATAATTTTTGAAGTTATACTTAAAATTAAATTGATATGATACATATATAAGTATAAATATAATTAAATGTTTATTTTAGTTTACAACATAATGTCTATAATGAACATTTATATTTTCAAACTCACTTATTAAAAACAATCTCAAACAAGTAAATTTTAAACCGCACTCTTGTACAACACTTTTAGAAATTTGTTTCTATTACACTTTTAAAAATTATTTTTTAAAAGCTATACCAAACCGACCCTTAGTGCTAGACTTGGAGAACCGTAACTTATAGGTTTATATGTTAATTTCATGGCTTAATTCCATTCGATGCAAACAGTCTATCACTTGATAAGCAATGCTGCGATTGTGCGGCTAAGCATGTTTGAAGATGTCACCTAAAATTTCGATCGATCGTACGATTAAAAGATTCCTTAACATTAAATTCGCCGTTGAAATGTGCGTGCATGCTTCACATGGGAGTGGTCGACACAGCTGGTGATATATTTTTTGGTGTACGTAGTTTCCTTTTAGATCCTCTTTTTTGTATCATCGGATATATTGTATCTTTTTCCTTCATTTGAGTTTGGGGAAATTTTTAACGAGGCATTCTACTTGAGCCTTGAGGTTTTTTTTCCCTAATTATTAATATTTTTTATAGGCACAAACAGACTTTTGTCCGGGTGAATCAGCACAAGGATGTGCCAAGTCGATTGTGGCAAGAGCTTGCCGTGGAGATGCATACTTGGTATAGCACGTTTTGGTTGTTCAAGATGCTTTGGCCCGAGTTGTTTGACTCTGTGTGTCTTTCGTTTTTTACGGGGAAACCGCGGTCGGCCAAGAAAACATCTTAGTGATAGAATGTTTTAAAATATAGGCTAAAGAATATAAATGATCTCCCGATTATAAGTTATTATTTTATTAAGTCCATCGAATATTACAAAGTTTGATCGTTAATCTATTAAAATTACAAAATAGTCACCCGACTATTTATTATGTTTCAAACTCATATTTTTTGTTAAAAAATTAGCGGTTGTCTAAGCTGAACGTTAACATGATGGCTGAGATATGATATTTGAGATGAGATTCTATCATATCACAATAAGCAGATTAACGTTCAACTCAAAATACCGTCAAAATTTTTAACGAAAAAAGAAGAGTTTGGAACATAATGAATAATCGGGTGACCATTTTGAAATTTTTAATAGTCAAGGGACTCAACAAAACAACACTCTATAATCGAATGATTTTATAACTTTTAATAGATAGATTTAATAAAGTAATTTTATATCGAGATACTATTTGTATACTTTACCCTAAAATTATTCCATGTCATATTTATAATATATGTTTGTGTGGTAATGTATTTTAAATGTTTTACACTTATAAAAGTTTTAAAATAGTAATTTATATATTTTCAGAAATTATTGGAATATTTGTGTTTTTTTTTAATTTTTATCATGTCATACTTAAGGATGATCATAAGTTATGTGGATTCGAGTTTTTGACCCACCTAAACTTTACTTAAAATTAAACACTTTCATCTGCGCTCGGTCTGGGTTTAAGAGGGTCTCGTTTGATCCGAAACTCGAGTCGATTTTTGGTCAAAACTATCTGAATCAATATATATATATATCTTTTTATTAGATATAATGAGAACTCAATTGAAAAAATTGAAATTGTCGTCTTATAACTCTTGATGAAGGGTGTAAATAAATAGGCATAATACTAAAATTAGTCCCGACGTTTATTAAAATGATTATTTTAGTCCCATATTCTATTTATTAGAATATTTTGACCCTTAACGTTTCATTTTAGGGCAAAAGACATCTGAAATTTGATAGAATTGACCCGATCAGATTCTATAGGGTTAGTTTTCTTAAATTGAGTTTGGATCGGGCCGGATCAAGCTTTTTTAAAGAATATATTCAGGTCGGATCAATCGGGTCAGATCAGGTCGAATATCTGGTTTGACAATCTCACAAGAAGAGATTAAATTGATAGGAATTTTAAATATAAAACTTATATTCGTTAAACTATTTTAAATTAAGACTAAATTAATAGGATATGTAATTTTAAAATAATTTTTAATTATATTATGTCCCATTAGGCTTTTGTTTTAATTTTAACGGTAAAGTGATATATTTATAATAATATTTTAATTAAATAATTAATTATAATTTTATTAAAAAAGTATGATAAGCTTCTAACTGACTTAATAATTAAATGGCTTGAAATATAGTCTACCCTAAATACTATGTATTTCATTAAACTGAATTTTTGGTAGGTGGCTTGAAGGGTGTAAATTTAATAGTGTGATTATTTGGTTTGAATTTATTTTTTAATTTATTATTATAAAAATAAATATTTTGTATTACAATTTAATAAATCTATGCTTTTGTTGTCATAGACACTAGAATGAGTGGATACCATTTTCACCAGCGAACTGAGCCATGGATTGCATTCACCAGCTCCTCAACATCATATTCCCTCTTGTTGTCATCCTTTTCCTCGTCTTTTTTCTTGCCACCATATCTGATTTTCAAGCTTATTAGATATATTCTCAGATCTTTCCGCTCCGAAAATGTAGCCGGAAAAGTGGTTCTCATCACCGGTGCATCATCCGGTATCGGAGAGGTAAATTACGTTATTCATATCATCATATATGATTTGTATCCGATATAAAAAATATTCAATTTTTTAATGTTTATGTTTATGTTAGTATGAGCGGATTCTAAGTTTTAAGAATGAATTTTCATATAATTTAAATATTTTTTTATGTTTTTGGTTAAAGATATGTACTCGCCTCCTATAAATTTATATCTTTTAACATAAAATTCCAAGTCTATCCCTAGTTGACTCAGTTTACAGCCCTTGCTTCACTGTTTTGTTGTAGCATGTTGCGTACGAGTATGCCAGGAAAGGAGCTCGCTTAGCTCTGTGGCCAGAAGAGAAGATCGTCTTAGCACAGTCGCCGATAAATCTCGCCGGCTAGGTTCACCGGATGTTCTAATCGTTCCTGCCGATGTTTCGAAACCGGAAGATTGCAAAATCATCATCGACAAAGCTGTCGAGTACTTCGGATGCCGTAAGCAGGGCCGAGTGCATCCCATTATTTTTATTAGTATCGAAACACTAACACTTGACTAATCCGTAAGCTCGTATGTTAATCTCATTAATACAAACAGTGATCACTTGGTGAGCAACGCTGGGATCGTTCAACTTAGCATGTTTGAAGATTTAACTCAAATTTCAGATTTCGATCGTATAATGGTACGTTACACATAAATATCAAAATCAGATATCGAGAATTATAATATAACTTAATGTCAAAATGGATATATAAACTAAAAGATTCTTTAACATTAAATTCTCCGTTGAAATGAATACACATCTCTTTACTGCGTAGAGCACGAATTTCTGGGGTTCGGTATATGGAACTCATTTCGCAGTTCCACACCTGAGGAAGAACAAAGGCAAATCATTGTGATTGCTTCAATTGCTGGATGGATTCCTCTTCCAAAACACTGCTTCTACAATGTAAGAAGTCTCTCATTTCTCTATACATGTATGCATGTATGTATGCATGCATGCTTCACTATACCCTGTCAATATAATTGTTGTCAATTGTAAAATCTGTAATGGCATGAGCAGGCAGCAAAGGCAGCGCTAATCAGCTTTTACGAGACTTTGAGGGTTGAATTTGGATCAGATATCGGAATTACAATCGCTATGCCTGGCTTAATTTATACAGATTTGGTCCTACAACAATCATATACATCTGAGGTATACCATTATCATACTCTTATTTTTTTTTTACAAAACATTCATATTTAATAATTATGTTATCATATATTCAAATACTTATATATAAATTATTTATTTATAATTATATTTTTTTAATTGTTTGGGTGATTACAAAGTAATATCTTTTCAGAATATTTTTTAGTCATTGACAACACTCCCTCCATCTTGGTGGTGGCATTTGGTCTTAAGAGCATAGTTCACATGGGAGTGATCAACATAGCTGGTGATATATTTTTGGTGTAGTTTCCTTTTAGATCCTCTTTTTTGTATCGTCGGATAGAATGTATCTTTTTCCTCCACTTAAGTTTGGGGAAATTTTTAACGAGGTATTCTACTTGAGCATTGATTGTTTAATTTTATCAATAAAAATCTTATTTGTCAAGCAAAAACACAAACACATATCCTGCAGACGTAGTTCAAACATTGAGACTTCTAGAGAGAACAACGCACCCTTTTATCGCTGGCGTAATTCAAATCCAAATAACATGTTGCTTTTCCTAATTATTAATATTTTTTATAGGTACAAATAGATTTTTGTCCGGGTGCATCAGCAGAAGGATGTGCCAAGTCGATTGTGGCAAGCGTTTGCCGTGGAGATGCATACTTGACAGAACCTCTTGGTACAGTACGTTTTGGTTGTTCAAGATGCTTTGCCCGAGTTGCTTGACTCAGTGTGTCTTTCCTTTTTGACGGGGAAACCGCGGTCGGCCAAGAAAACATCTTAGTGATAAAATGTTTTAAAATATATGCTAAAGTACATAAATGATCTCTCGACTATATTTACTATTTTCTTAAGTTTATCGAATATTAAAAGTTTCAAAATAGACCTTCGATATATAATATTATTTTGTTAAGTCTCTCGACTATTAAAAGTTACAAAATAGTCACCGACTATTTATTATGTTCCAAACTAATCATTTTCGTTAAAATTAGCGATTGTCTAAGTTGGATGTTAACATGATGGCTGAGATATGATAGTCATTGAATCTAGGATCATATTTTATCATATCACAATCAGTAATTAACGTTCAACTCAATATACCCGTCAAATTTTTTAACGAAAAAGGACGAGTTTGGAACATAATAATAGTCGGGTGACCATTTAGAAACTTTTAATAGTCAAGGGACTCAACAAAGCAACACTCTATAATCAAATGATCATTTTGTAACTTTTAATAATAAATAGATTTAATAAAGCAATATCCTATAGTCGAGAGATCATTTGTTTATTGTACGGTCTAGAAAGCACGTTTATAAAGCCTATTTTTGGATTAAAGCTGAGTGCTCTTTGTCTTTGTTACTGGTTAAGGAAATTATTTTCTTTTGGCAAAAAGACATTCAAGCCTCCTATACTTTCAGGAAGAAAAAAATGATCGTGACCTCGTATTATTATATTTTTACTGTGATTTTTTAATTCAAAAAATAAATTTAATATAGTCATTTGTTCAACGTTTTTTTATTGTTGACCGTTATATTATTTACGTGACAGTTCATGGTGCTAATGTGACGGTATACTGTAATGATGTGGCAGTTCACTGTGGATAATAACATGACAGAAGATATGACAAATGAGCTAAATTGATATTTTTATTTTGTCCTAGGGCTAAATTGTTTTTTTAAGTTCAATGGATTATTTAATTTTTTAAAAAAATAAAAAAAATTATTTAAATTATAAATATAAAATTATTCAAATATCCAAAAAATTAAAAATTAAAAATTAAATAAAATTACCAAAAAATTAAATATATATATTAAAAATACTAAGACTACTTTTAAAAAAATTTAAAAAATGAATATATATAACAAGTTATAAAATAATTACTTATACATTATTAAAAAATAAAAAAAATAAAAAATATTATACATAATATATGCATGTAATATAAGCATATCATCAACACTTATACAAATTATTTTTACTAGATTAATTAAGATTTACAAAATTTAAATTAATTTATAAAGAGTGAGCTAAAAAGCAATGTGCTCCTTGCAGTGTATACAAATAATCAGATAAATAATTCAGTAAAAAATAATTTATAAAAATGCTTTTAAAACACGAACACTATCCACTTCCGAACACCAGAATTTGTAGTTTCCCTGAATCATACCCACATACACTTGGTAAGGACCTTATACTTATAGTATAAGAACATAAGGTAAGGAATTACCTTCTGACAAAGCATGGGCATGTAGTAAGGTAAGGAATTACCTTGTGTACACATAAATATCAAAATCAGATATCGAGAATTATAATATAACTTAATGTCAAAATGGATATATAAACTAATTGAACTACGTCTCTTTATTTCGTAGAACACAAATTTCTGGGGATCGGTATACGGAACTCACTTTGCAGTTCACACCTGAAGAAAACAAAGGCAAAATCATTGTGATTGCTTCAATTGGTGCATGGATGCCGATTCCAAGGAACTGCTTCTACAGTGTAAGAAGTATCCTCTATACTATATGATTCACTATACTTTTTCATTATTATTTTGTTAATTGTAAGCTCTGGAATGGCTGATTCAGGCAGCAAAGGCAGCACTGATCAGCTTCTATGACACTTTGAGGGTTGAATTTGGATCAGATATTGGAGTTACGATCGTTACCCCTGGCTTAATTTATACTGATATGGTCCTACAAATAGCAAACACGTATCAGGTATATCCTACTTTTTGTTTCTTTTTCAAAGTATTCTGTATACGCATATTTCTCTCTCTTTTTATTTAAATGATTAATGTTTTTGGGTAGATACACGAGGGATTTCTTATGGGTGAATCAGCAGAACGGTGTGCCAAGTCGATTGTGGCGAGCGCTTGCCGTGGAGATGCATACTTGACAGAACCATCTTGGTATAGCACGCTTTGGTTGTTCAAGATGCTTTGCCCCGAGTTGCTCGACTCAGTATGTCTTTGCACTTTGATGGGGAAACTTGGGTATGCCAAGAAAACATCCTAGTCATAAACGTTGTGAAATATATTAATAATACCTCTTTTGTTGTAAAATAAAAAGATCGAATCAATTCTTTATGCGTATGTGTTGCTTTTCCGAGTTTATTGTGTTTCGATCTTCTAGTTTTGGGTTGTTTCATTCCTAGCTCTTCCAGTCGACCTTTGATCTCAAAGTCGGTATTCACGAATACTGGTGGATCTAGAAATTTTTTGATGGTGGACACACATAATTAATATATATTTTTGATACAATAAAATTTCAGGGCGGACACCATAGAATTTCAGGGTAGACACACATACATTAATGAAGAAAATTTTGATTTTAAAGAAGAAAATTTCGATTTTAAAGAAGAAAATTCAAATTTTAAAAAATTTCAAGGTGGACACTAATGCAATGTGGATCCACCACTGTTCACGAACCTTAATCGGAGTAGTTGAATTAATCTTTTTTATTTTGTTTATCATCTCAAGATTAAAAATGAAATGTTGAAGATTAAAATAGTCTAAAAAGTACGAGGATTAAAGTGATTATTTGGTAAATTTTAAGAAATTTCTTATTGTAAATAAAATATTAAAATTAAAATATTTTATAAAAAATGAATCAAAGTAATTATTTTAATAAATATTAGAAGTTAATTTTCACGATACGTCAATTTAAAACTATAGCATAAAGGCCCCAAAATCATTCAAAATTTAATTATTGAAATTTTAATTTAAATATTATAAAATTTGACTTAAAATCGTTTAAATAAAAAATATAATTTAAATTATTTAATTTCAAAATTAATTAAAAAAATTAATTTATCTAAGTTTGAAAATGACAAGTACCCAACAAATAAGAGTCAACTACATATTTAATATCTTAATTATTATTTTGTTATGTTTTGGTAATCCAATTATTTTTTAAAAATTATTCCTAACATTTCGTTTTGGTTTCAACTGTGATGCTAACGTATTATCATAAGATAATACCGTGCCACCATTTTTAAAAATGAAAAATACCACGTTGGTCATTCTGTTAGTTTTTTTTATCGGCGAGTGGCCAAAATGAAATAAAAATAAAACGTAAGTATGATATTGAATAAAAAATAATTAAATGATTAAAAGAGAACAAAATTGATAGTTGAGATACTACACGGGTAATTTATCCAAAAAATAACTAAATACAAAAGGTCGAGGCCAGTTCCTCATAGACTATCGCTCTTGAGCAAAGGTAGGGAAATTGTAATTGTTGGTTAAATCCAAGGCTGTGGCCAGTCCAATCAAAATGGCAGAAGGCCACTTTTTCATTGAAGATATTACATAAATATGAAATACACCCAAACATGGGTAATAGGTCTACCTAGGCCATGGCTCACACATTTATTTATTATTTATTTTAAATTATATTTATATTATTTTTTTAGCTTTATTTTGTTCGTTTGTTTTTTTTTTAAATTTAACGGTGATATTGATATATCATGTTGGCATCAATGGTAACGACATGCCACTAAAACAGAACTAAAGTATAATATTAGGCACGATTTTATATATATATATAAATAATAGTTGAATGACCAAAACTTAAATTATGTAATAGATGGATGATAAATAGGTAGTGTGTCCTGAATAAAAATATGTATGAGTTATGTTAAAAAAATTATGTTGGTCCAATTAATATATTAATACATATGTATATAAATGTTTTTATATATTTTTAAATTAAAAATATAAATGAATTTGTTAAAAAATATCAAAAACTAAAAATACACTTCGTATCCATTGAAATCACTCCAATCCTCGACCAATCCCCACTATACCTGAAAACATCACAATAACAAATAGAGTACACTAATTAAATATTTTTTACATATTCGTATACAACATTCCATTCGACCCGAAAAATATAAACCGATATTACGAAAGTAGTGAAGTCGAGAAAGAGAGAAACAAAGATGGTTAGGCTTACCCAGCATCAATGAATCCAAGTCCAAATAAACCAACAAGAGACCTTGCAAGAACCGTGTTCGAAACTCCGAGTGTGAACTTCGGAAATCGATTGTTGCTATTGCTCGAACTCGGATCAACACTATCTTTCCTTTTACTCAGCTTGGTAACAAATCTCGAGTCATTCCTTGTAACAGGAAGATGGGAGGGGTGAAGAATGCCATTGAAGGTTAAGCTTTTGTGTATTGTCCACATTTTCCTGTCATCACTTATCTGGTGAGATATCTCATTACCCTCATCCATAGAGGAAAAAGAAAAAAAGGGTATTCTAGACATTTACACTACTATTTTAGGAAATAATTAGGTTAAATATGGGCCCGAAATAAATAAGAATATTTCGTATTTCAAATACATTTTCATTTCTCTTTTCGTTGTTTTCACGAGATTTTTGAAAAATAAATTTGTAATTTGCTCCATTGGTTATTTTTTTAATTTTTAAATATTTTACATAATCAAGTTTATATTTGTACATTCTTAAATTTCTTTTAAATGAATATTATTGTATGTTCTGTGTAATTATGTACGTATAGATGTTAATGTGTAATTTTTTTAAATAATTTGGAAAATTGGGATAAATTACATTTTAATTCTTTTGATTAAGCTAAGATGCTTATAAAGTAATGTCTATTCTAAATACTCCCAATCATTTGACATTGAACGCTCAATCATCCTACTACAGTCGCTGGTGCTTGAACCTGATACTCTAGAAACAACAATAATTTCTTTAATCATTAAGTTAAATTCGTTCGTGCAAATTATTTTAATTCTTAAACTATTAATATTTGAAATAGACAAATTATTTATCAAAAAAAGAAATAGATAAATTACAGCCACAAACGCCTATGTTCCGCTGCTCCATGATATGCCATGAGGACGCAACGTCTATCCAAAGCCACATCCACTTCCCTGTTACCTTTGATTTCTTATCTTCCCCTAAGTAGACCTTTTTTTTTTGGATAAATTAAGTAGACCTTTTGTTCGTATCTTACTAACAAAAGCAAAACAGCGAAACTTTGATTTCATCAATGGCTTCCTCTCTGATTTTAAATACCATGTCTTTTAATTTATCCATTTCTCGTTCAAATCCGCCGTCCTCCACTCCACTCATTCACGGCTCAGTCCGACTCCCCCGATTCAACAAGGTTGGGAAAGCCTTGAAACTCAGTTCCACCCAGAGCATTTCTGGGTTCCCTTCATTTGCTCCCCAGAAGCTTTGCAGTTCTACCCCGGCACCCCAAAGACTTCAATCTCTCACTGTCTTTGCTGCTAGAGGCTACAAAATGAAAACCCACAAGGTACTTTGCTTTGGTTCTTTACTAATCGAAGCAAATAGTCAGTGTTTTAATCATTCGTTTCTTGTTTTTTATTTCAGAACAATATGTGAATTTGTTTCGCTGTATTGAGTTGAAACTTGGGTCAAAAGAGTCCACCTTTTTTCGCTGTTGTTTTAGGATTCTCAAAAGTTGGAAATTTTATAAGCATATTTTGTTAATTGCATCAAATCATACAAAACAGGGTTCAAAATTTGTTTTGGCAATAAAAAAATTATAGCTTAGAATTTGGGAATTTTGTTGTTCTAATGGGTTTGGTGTTGTCTTATGGTTATTAGGCGTCTGCAAAGCGGTTCCGGGTGACTGGAAGAGGGAAAATAGTTAGGAGAAGAGCTGGGAAGCAGCATTTGTTGGCTAAGAAGAACACAAAGCGTAAATTGCGCCTCTCCAAAATGGTTTGTTTTTTCCCCTCGCACCAAAGTTGTTGATTTGCTTGTGCTTTGTTCTTGTTGAATATTTGAGCTTTTAGAAAGTAAAAAAAGTGGGTGCTATGTTAATAGTTGCTCCAAAATTCATGCTGCATTCGGTCTTTTGTTAGCAGTCCAGGAGATTCGGTTCCGAAATTATGTATCCCTGATCCACCTCCTCTGCCTCACTGGTTCATTTCTTCCGCATTAGTGGGAACTTCGTCGTTTCGCTAATGCAGTTTCCCTAGTTCAGTTCGGATTGGTAAATGAACTGTTCCTCAGCATGACAATTTTTTCTATCGCAAAATCTCCTGATCACCCTTTTTAATTAAAGTTTCCAAAGAGAAAGAATCATGAAGAACCAGCTGCCATAGCTACATATCTATCTCTTGTACCGGGAAAGGATTCTTGTGCCCTACAGAGCATCTATCTTACTGTGGTCTCAACGATGGATCGTGGTTATTGGTTATCAATTGTCAGTTGAGTATGGTGAGATCGAATGCAGAATGGGCAAGAATACTGACCTTAAGGAATGATCAAGGTATTCAAAAGTAACATGCACCGAGACCGATAATATGGTTAGATGTTTCTTGCTAGGAATTCATGTAATGATAATCAGGGTGTAGATTCTGAGTGTCCACTTCATCTGTTACTGTTTTTCAAGGTGAAATCCTTGTTATTTGTTAACCTTTTTTGTTCAGATGCATTGGTATTGTGAGAAAGTTCCATGATCGGTCGAGTCTTCACTCTTCACTACACCAAAAATCTATGCTGGGGCATAATTAAAACATAACCATTGTGAGAATTTACTCAACTACAGGCTTACTTCAAATACGCCGTTTAACATCATGGACTTGCATCCTTGGTGTTTTGTGTCCATGCTTCAAGATGCCTTGGTACATAAGAGAAATTGATCCATGACCTTATTTGGTTTAAACAGACCATTTAAGTAGCTGCGATAATTCGAAACTAAACACATATTGCTTGACGTGTAAACTTAAATCTTTAGGTCTCTATCTCAGTATAAAAACTTGTTCTTACTGTGTACTTTTTGCAATTTCTGTCTGCAGCATGAAGTTAGCCGGAGTGACTACGACAATGTGATCGGTGCCTTGCCGTATCTCAAAGTGAACAGAAATACCAAGTGAAAGGTGACCTCAACATGTGAGGACTCATTTTGTTTTCTACCGATTCTCTCGATACCATGTTGGAGAAAGTATGTTGATTCTGTTTAGCTTTTAATCTCTGATACGGTTTTCGGCCATTGATCGTTCCCAAGTTGAAATGTATTCTTTTTCGGATCGTGTTAAGCACCTATTCGATTTCACTTTATGATGTGCATTGAATGCCTATGCTTTGGGGTTACAGTGAGCTGCGTTTTCTCTCTACTGTGGAGCAATTTCTCTCAATTGTAAAACGACGCCGTTTTACTAAAATTCCAGAAACAACAACTTTTAATTAAAATAATTGAGAAATAAACAGCAAACCTAAATTGAAAACATTTTTTTTATTAATTTGTGATAAGTATAAGTTGCTATCTGTTTAAATATAATTTTTAATTATTTGATATTAAATAAGCATATCTTTAATATTCATGGCGTTCGAATTTGGAATGAAGACAATTCTTTCATAATCATCAAATTTGGAATAAAAACAATTCTTTCAGAATTGATGTCGTTTGATTTGTACCAAAATGACATCATTTTACGTGCATAAGAGGAGTTGTTTTATTTTTTTGGAATAAATTACATAATTTTTTTTATTGAATTTTACTCTTTCTCTTATTTTGCTTACTTTGTCGTTGACTTTTTAACGGTGTTATAACATGAAACAAACAACAAAACGACGTCGTTTTGAAAAACTCAAATATACACCAAAATAACGTAGTTTGAAAACTTCTTTTTCCCCCATTGTCGCCACTGACGACCACGTCATTTTTTCATTTCGATCACCGTCTACCGTCGTTGACGGTAGTAATTCGATCCCAAAATTAATGGGTCGATTCATCTCGACTCTCGGAGTTCGAATCTGGTGGTTGTTTCACCGAAAATATCCCAAAATCCATGAATATTGACTGAAAATTTTCGTCTTCCTCACTTTCAATCTTCTATTTGTGGACTTCGAAGCAAGTTCCGGTAAAATAGAGGTCGGATTCAGACTCAAGGTGTCGAGGCGAAGCAACCCATGAAATTTGAGACTGAACGACCATCATCTACAGCGGTCGACAGTAGCATCCAATCACCTTATATTTTTATTTTATAGTTGGGTAAGTAAAATAGGAGATAAAGTAAAGTTCGGTGAGGAACTATTTAATTTATACTTTATAGTTTTTATTATTTTTAATCACACCATTAGAGAGCTAACGACTGAATGAGCAAAATGATTTAATCCGTAAAGTTTAATAAATAAAATTAAAAAATTAAAAATATAATGAATAAAATATAAGATAAAATAAATTTTAGTAAGAAACGATGTAATTTTTCCCTTGTTTTTTTTTCAATTAAGAGCAATTAACCACTTCATTGTTGACAAAAAAGAATTGTTTTATTTATATTAAATTATGTGTATCAAGTTAAGTGACTTCAAATAATTATTAGCAATAGTTCACTAAATATCCAAAGTTGATGGTACCCATTTCATTTACGTCACGACCGGTCAACTTTTAAAACCCTAGTCCATTCGGCAGAAGCTACGGCCGATATATAGACACGTGTCGAAAAAGCCAAACAGCCGCCGCAAACTAAAACGAATCTAATCTACTGGGCCCCACACTTATCCATTACTGGTTTACTTTCTGCCAGAACATGCTCAACTTTTTCTGTAGAATAACGACAATGACCTCCACTCTGACCACTAATTGCCAAAAAAAACAAGGATATTGAAGTAATCCCATATCTTCATCGCACACGCGATGGCTCAAAGTATCACGGGATCTCGCACGTGTCCGCCGTCAGAAAAACAGTTGTGTTTTTTTAGTCTTAACTTCAATTTCCAGAGACTAAAAAAAAAGAGAAAAAAAGGATTCTTGAGAAAAATTTGGGCTGTGAAATCGTGATTTCTGTTTGGTTGAACGGTTCGGTTGATGAAATCCGGAAATCTTAGGCCGGAGCCCCCAAAGACTGCGTGCCCGGAAAGGCGCCGGTGAAATTGGAGATCGTCGAAGATTCTTTAGAGGAAAAACATGGACCTCTTGGTAAACGATCAAAACCATCTCCAGATCTTCAACTTGTAATTCCTCTTTCAATTTTATTAACCTTTTTCAAACGAACTGAAATTACGTAATTTTAGGAATCGCAAATATTTTGGGAAGCAAGAAGCTTATGTCAGGTTTTAATTTTTAAAAGTTTTTTTTGGGTCAGTGGAACTCGGAATTTAATCTTTTGGATGAGCCAAGTCCACTTGGTCTGACGCTAAGGAAGAGCCCGTCACTTTTGGATTTGATCCAAATGCGCCTCTCACAATCCCAAAGCAGTGGCTCATCTTCCCAAGCTGAAGTCCTGAGCTCTGGAGCCAAGGAGGCTAAACACGCTGCTGATAAGCTTAAAGCCTCGAACTTCCCGGCTTCCATTCTTCGAATCGGCAATTGGGAGGTTGCATCTTTTCAACGAGTTTTGTTTTAATTGTTTTACAAAATGCATGTATTTTGAGGTCGAGTAGCTGAAGAATTGTTCCCTTGATGATTTGCAGTATAAGTCTAGGTATGAAGGTGATTTAGTGGCCAAGTGTTATTTCGCCAAGCACAAGCTTGTTTGGGAGGTATTGGAAGGTGCGCTCAAGAGTAAAATCGAAATACAGTGGTCGAATATCATGGCGATTAAAGCGAATTGTCCCGATGATGGACCGGGGACTTTGAATGTCGTGGTAAACTTTGTTTCTTCTTATGATCATCCCTGTTTTAATCTCTCTCTCAATGAATATGTATGACTTTGGTTGTTTCTTTTACGATGCAGCTGGCGAGACGGCCCCTTTTCTTCCGGGAGACGAATCCTCAGCCTAGAAAACACACCTTATGGCAGGCAACTTCCGATTTTACAGACGGTCAAGCTAGCATACATAGGTAAAAGTGATATATTTGGTTGTGCAGGCTAAATGTTTTAGGTTATCTCAGTTGTGTGTGTATAGAGTTACACGGGCTAATGTACCGTTGGAAAATTTATATTTCGGCTGTGCAGGCAGCATTTTTTGCAGTGTCCTCGAGGATTCTTAAACAAACATTTTGAGAAGCTCATTCAGTGTGACATGCGTTTAAACTGTTTAAGCAGACAACCAGAGATAGTTTTGGATTCGCCATATTTTGAGTCTCAGACTTTGCCGAATGAGGATCCCAATGAAATGAGAGTGCATGATGACAGACAGGGAGAGACCGGTAAAGGAACTTCTACCTCTGGCTTCCAGAGTGTAGCATCACCATCTGCAGCTCGGTCTTTGTCTTCGGATATCGGGAAAGGGGATTCCGCTTTTATAACCTCGGAAACTATGTACAGGGACGCTCGATCCCCCAGTTCAGGTACAATCAAGAACTTATGGATTGTTTTTTATGTGCTGATGGGAAATTTTCTTATGTACTCATTTTGCATTTTCTTTTATTTACTCTTTGAAATCTGATCCCTATTATGGTTTGAATACATTGATCTTAACTATACTTTATAATTGTTACACAGTGTATATATATGTGTATAATGAATTTTGCATGTACATATATTTGATTTATTCAGTGTCTTGTGGACTTAGTATGTGCAATAATGCAATTTCTTCTTTCCTGGTTTAAACTTGATAGCTGAATAGAAAGATGAAATACGATCTTCTAAAGCATTTTTTTAAAAATAAAACACACTTTTTTTTTCTTCCTTATCTATTAATTTTTCATTTCGTATTAGCGATGGACTCTTGTGCCACTGAAGCAAGTGGATCTTGTCATGCAGTGGGTTCAAAGCAGCCAAAGAATTTGGACAAGATAAAAGTGCCTGGACTTCATCCATATATCTCCATGAATGATCTTATGAACCATATTGAACAGTATCTTCCTGAAAAGGATGGCACGACAGGCGCAAACTCACAGGATAAAGGGGAAAATCGTGACGACCTTGATGTAAAAGATTTCCAGCTAAACAAAATAGCTAAGAGCGAGGTGAAGGATTTTGAAGGAGATACAGAAGAAGTTCCTAGTAGCAAGCAGGCACAGGGAATGTCAAGAAAAGACTCGTTTGGGGAGTTGTTGCTTCATCTTCCCCCAATCGCATCACTCCCAAAGTTCTTGTTTAACATTTCAAAAGATGAAGAGAGAAGGTAGATAAGATAGTTTTCTTGTTTATCAACTGCATAAAATGATAAATATCGAGCTTCGCAATCTCCCTCGTGTTAGCTGGAAATATGATGGATGTCTATGGTATCAAATTTAAGTGGAGGGGGTGCTTGGTCAATGGGATTTACCTGGGTTTGGAAAAAAAACTCTTTTGATGAAGAATTCTGGTAAAACCCATGTTCTTAGGTGCTTTAGCAAAATTGAATGTTGTAATAAGCTGATCGTTGGCTCTATTGTAATATGTACGTAAATTGTAACTTTTCTGTGCAATGCTACAATGTGTACAAGAAGCTTGTGGAATTCGATTTTGATTGCTTTACAGTTCGATAAAATTCAAGGCTGAGGAAGTTGAAATGTATGGTTTGATTTCGTTTCTCCTTTCCTGGTACTGGTAAAACAGCAAAAGAATGCAAGACTCGAAAAAGGGATCTCAAGAAAATGAAACAATACGCAGGGATTTAAGATGAAATACTGGCGCATATTATGCATGGAGGATCTCTACACTTCTCATAAGCTACTGTCAGCCGTAAGCACTGGCTATGGAAGACATGACCACATGAAAGAACAGCATTCTCTACAGGATTACGACACTCCCTATCTGGACCGTATTTGGGTTCATTTGCAAGATCACCTTCACATAATAGACAGCTAATCCCAAGCGGCCTGATGCCATCATCGAAACCTGCAAAATCGGAAAGAAATTGTTATGGTAAAGCTTCATGTTTCTCTTCTTTCATTGTCACTATTTTGGAGTTTCTACATTGCATAGCAGATTATAGAATATATCAAGCTGTGTCCATATAGTTCTATTTCTAAAATCCAAATGCAAATCTTTTACATTTCAGGATGTCTCCCTGAGATTTTTTTAAGGCAAATGTGAATGCAATTATACATGTTACTTGATCAAGTAAACTATGGGACACAAATTTACTCCTCCATGGGACGAGTCTTGGATGAACGTGATAATATATTCGTATCGGATTAAGAGCAGAATATTCCAGAAGGAACTTGTATACATACCTTCCCAAACTACATGATCTTCGTAGAAATGTTGGTTTTGTCTTCGATTGTCAAAGGTTGTTTCTTTTCTCTGTGTAACCAGCCTAGGAGTTCTGCTTGTTCCACTTTTGCTCACTACACCAGCAGAGCCTTTGGAAGGTCGTTTTTTCTCCTTTTTCGGAGTAAACTGCTTCAATGTTGGACTTGTAGCAGTAGTTTCTATCTTCTTAACAGATGATCCGGAGTCTTTTGGCAAATATATCTCTTTCTGTTTCTGCATTGATGCTGGAATTCTTCTAGTTCCAATATTTTGACATTTTGGGCTTGTTCCCTTTTCTGCATAACATGCTTTGATTCAGTAATCCTACTGGTTCCACAATTCTTGACCAACCCTGGACAGTCTTTGGGAGGTTGAGCTGTTTCTTTGTTCTGCAAGACATGCTTCGAAGCCAGAATTCCTTTGTTTCGACCATTCTCAACCGTATTCGGCTTTCCGCAAGATTGGGATGTCACCTTCTTCTTCATAGACTGTATCAGTGTCCCAATTCTACTAGTCTCACTCTTTTTATCCAACCCTGCTGGATCTTTGAGAGGTTGGGCTGTTCCCTTTATTGTAAGCTGCTTTGATTGCATAATTGTACTAGTTTCTCTCCTCTTGAGCAAACTTGTGGCATCCTTGGGAGGTTGTGTTGTTTTTTCCTTCTTATAAATCCTAGAAACTGAAGTTGAACTTGTTCCACTCTTGTTAACCAATGGGGCTGAATCTTTGTTCTTTATCTTATCTGATTGATGCTGTTGAGTCAAACCTGGTTTACAAGAAGCGAATATTAGCTTTGAATTTCAACCAGAAAACATGTCAAACATGGTTTGCTTATTCATCTGACATAAGTTAACATGTATGAAATCAACAGAAAAATGGTAATAAAACTGTTAAAAACAAAGCATGATCTTACGTTTAGGGGCCAATGTAGTTCCTAAAGCAGGGTTAGTGCCTTGAGAAGATTCACCAGGGCAAGAGGTAGCAGGCTGAAGAGTTGTAGGGAAGGTCCGAGGTCCTCTACTTCGACCGGAGCTCGAAGCCCCATCAAACACGTGGTTGCCGGCCGGACGATGGGATGCGCTGAGGCGTTTAGAATTGCCATCACTTGCCTTCCTCCTGGGACCTTGAAGATTACGTGTTACTTTTTGCATATACTGATATAGAATGTTAAAGGGCCAAAAGTATAAAATAGACTGTAACAAGGTAATGCCGCCATTGAAATTTAAGGGCCCTTGCCTGTTCGTGTTGTCCAGAAGGATAGTCTCCAATCTTTATCTCTTGTCGCCATTGAAATCGAAGGAACCCTGAAAATCTAAATAACAAAGACGCTCTGTTCTTGAAGAAAGAATCCAGATTGAACCCAAAGTCTCAATCCCAGAAACTAAAACTGAAGACAGAAAGAAAGATCAAGAACAAAATCGTAGACTGGTAATGTAGGTGAAGGGAAATCTGGGAATGGGAAGTATTTGATGTGAAAAAGGATTTTTCAAGAGAAGAAGATATGAACATAGATTGAATGTTCAGAGTTTTATCATTTTTATATATATATTCGTACGAGTCTCCTAATTACCATAGGACTCCGCCTTTTAATTTTCTTTTTATAGGTTTTTTAAAGGTTGGGGAAGGAGTTTAGGTGGGTTGGGATTTTTGTCGACTGAAAATCTGATAAGGGATAAATCATGTTTTACCCCCTAATATAATTGTTTTTTTACAATTTGATCCCTGAATTTCTTTTTATATATTTTAGTTTCAAAATTTAAATTGATGGTACTCCTTTTGATGACCTAAGACTCTAATATGTCATTCAAGTACCAAGTTAAGAATGTTATCAAGTTCAAGGACTATTAGAGGAAGAAGTTCAGGGACTAAGTTGAGCAAAATAATTTGTTCAAAGGTGTGTTTGGAAAGCCTATGTACAAAAAAAAAGTTCATTGACCATGAGAAAAATAATGTTTTAGGGAAATTGAATTTCAAATGCTTGGGATATATATGTACATATATATTATATAAAAGTAGCTTTATATACAAAGGAGATTAAACTTGGCTGTACAAAAGGAAAGCCTGGTCCTACTACCAGCATGATGGTTTTTTATAAGTTATAACCCAATGTACAACTCAGTTTCTTCCATCATGTCAACACCTGCTTTCAGAGAAGTTGAAGGAGGAGATGGTGAATGGATGGTGGCATCAGGTAACATGGCTGCCGTCACGACGAAGTATTCACATCCGATCGGGAGATCATAAAGGTTCCGACTTGATCCAGAATTCATGGTCAACTTCTCCGTCCCCCTGTCGGAATAAGTCAGCTGATCCATGACATCTGCCTTACAGTGATCAAGTCTAGCGGTTGAAGACGGCAGCGGCTTCACCGTCTGGCATTCAATATTCACAATCTGCCCGATAATATAGCCTGGTTGGCTCAGTAGATGATCAGTAAACAAGGCCAAAGATTCAGCAGTTTCGGGTGATTGTCTCGTATTGCCTAGCTGAATTGAGTACAAATGAAGCAATCTCATGCAATTGCAAGCGGCTGAAAGGCATCTTTCCTTGTTTGCCTGAAGAAAGAATTCCAAACCTCTTAATTGAAGAGTAAAATGATTTATATACCACGAAATCGAGAAACACTGACAAATAAATGTTACGCTTCTCAAGTTAATGCTAGGTGTACAGAGTTTTAACCAGCTCTTCTGGATTCTTGGTCAAGAAATCAATTTTCTCGGCAAGAACACGTCGGAACTCATCAAGGCCATCATCTTCAATGTCACTAATGGAACCGAAATTCAATAGCAAAGATATTTGGACAATGGTTAGTAAATTGTCAGCACAATTCAACATGAAAAGAAAAGGAGCAATTCAGAACATCAGAAAGGATAATGTCTATGTTATCACCATTAAGCTGACAGGCTTCTCGGTCAGGTAGGCAGCCCTAACAAGGACTCAGGAGCAATATGGTCCGGGTCAGGAACATCAATATCAAGCAATGTAAAGTCGAAACTCGAAAGGAGAATTTTTCGAGACACGCTCGATATGCAGGACCGAATCCGTGGACAAACTTAATATCCATAAACAGATCCTCCTGATGCATCATTGCCTCCCTGAAAACAGGGAACTGCAACTTGACCTCCTTGATGTGGTATGTAACATATGCTGTCTTTTGCAATGTAAGTTTGAACAAGGATGTTCGTTTCATTCTTATTATCCTTGCAAAAGTCAAGCAGCTTTGATATTTCATGTTCACAAGCCAGCATCCTCGGCAGATTATGCATATCTTTCGACCGACGTTGATCATTAGGTATTGATATGACAGCTGCTATTATTAACATGACAGTCTATTGTATTAACGTAACAATTTATAATATTAACATCAGTCACCATATAAATAAATTTGGTTGCTATATCTTGAATTTAGCTATTGTAGATCTCGTGATCTCGGGATGGATATGGGTTGGTTGAATAGGGCATCCGTATCCTTTTCCCTAAGAATATTTATTTTTTATTTTTTATTGAAAAATGGCAAAATTATCCTGGGGACGTCCCCGACTAAGCATCGAAACTTCCCCGAACTGATTTAGTCGTACCCTGCCACGTGACACGTTCCCGGTATGTAACCCAGTCATCTCTGTGCGGGGACGTATAGGGTACTTGAAACGGGACATATTTGTCGTCCCCGTACTTCATAGCTCCTCCACCCAAAACGCCCAACTTACCCAAAGTTTACAAGGAGCTTTGTGGCGGTTCATGGAGTTGTTTATTGTAAGTTATACAAATACAAAGAACCTGACACCCTGTTGGGAGCAAAAGCAATTCCTTGTAGTAAAACTTGGTTTTATTCATTTTCATGATATAATCATTTTAATCAAGCATGGATGAGTCTTTCCAAATATATATATAGGAATTTTGAGTAGGCCTGTGAGATTTTTCAGCTTCAAAGAGCTCATATTTTAAGGTTTCCACTGCAACATCCATGGCTAGCATGCGTTTTCACAGTAAGCTAAGCACTTTGGCTGTCATTTTTGTAAACGTCACAATAAAGCTAACATGCAAGAACACGAAGTACAAGCAAGAGGCCACTACAAGAATCAACAAGAACGGCTGTTTCTTCACCATAAATCATCACCGGCTTTAGAGTCCACAAATGCACGGTGTCTCTTTTATCATCGTCGTCGGCTTCGTGCAGCAAACCGTTAAGAAGAAGATTGTTCAGAAATCATACAATGAATTGGGATGTCAAAGTTTAAAAGATGACCAAGAGCACTGCAAGACTTCTCAGAAGCTCACAGTTGATGTTGCAGCTTGTGAAGTTGACATGAGGGCAGGAATATCTATCTCTGACCAGCAGTAACGTCTTAAGCCACATAACCTCAGAAGTCACATCCGCCACACTTTGATATTCAGCCTCAATGGTTGATCTTGAAACAGACCTCTGTTTTTAACTTCAAGACCATGAACAAGTTCCACTTCAAGCCCCAAAAAGTATTGTAGCTCGCCAAGATCTTTCAATGAAAAATTTTCCCCATCATACAAATAACAGCTTCAACATCAACATTGGAATCTCCTGTTAAAACGATATCTTCAACATAGATCAACACGAAAACTCTTCCTTCTCCTATGCACCGAATAAAAAAAGAAGAGCCAGCAGTTGAACTTTTGAAGCCGAGACTAATTAACGACTGTCGAAGTTGAACGTGCCACATCCTTGGAGTTTAGCGTAGTTCATACAAGGCTTTCTTAAGTTTACATACCAGCGGTAACCAGCATTAGCAACCTTTTCAAACCCCAGTGGTTGAACAATATAAACTTCTTCATTCAACACTGTTGAGAAAAGTATTATTGACATCTACTTAGCGTAAACACCGACCATCAGTTACAACCAATGAGAACACAACAATAATGGTGGATGCTCGAACAATGGGACTGAAGATATCCGAAAAATCTGGACCAAGCACTTGTGAAAAACCCCTGGCAACCAGTCGATCTTTGTAGCGAGACAACGTTCCATCATCATTCTTTTTAATTCAAAAAAGTCACATCATATTGCAGAATGACCATCAGGTAGTGGAACCAACTCCCATGTATTATTTTGCATGAAAGCTTGATATTCATCTAACACTGTCTACTTCCAACATTGATGTTGCATGGCCTGATGCACCAAATGTGGTTTACTTGTACTCAAATGATCAATCATATTAGTTGTTGCTCCAAGTTCCTTTGGCTTGAAAATTCCCATTTTACTTCTAGTGAACATAGGATGACGATTAAGAGGAACACCCATGTTCTCAGCCATTATTTACAACTGGTTCATCCACATAAATCCCTCTTGGAGCATCACATGCATGCTCAGAGGAGCTAATCGAAACACCCAGCGGACTTTTCCTGTTTGAGACATCAGCACCATGCTCAGAGATGCTGATCAAGGCATGCCATCTGCACTAGTGGATGCTTTGGTGAGCACCCCATCCAGTCTTAATAAGCGTGCCACACCTGGAACAACTTGAAGGGATAGAGAAGAACAAATATTAGCAACTTCAGCACCCCTACTATCCTTAGTTTCTGCAAACGGAAACACACATTCATCAAAAATAACATTACGAGATATGTATAAATGATCATCGGACTCCAAACAATTGTAACCAAGATGTTACATGATATATTCGAGAAACACACAGCTGAGATCGAAATGCCAATTTATGGTATTGAAAAGGTCTTGTATATGGGTAACACCTACACTCGAACACCTTCAAATGATCAAGCAAAGGCGGTTTCCCATAAAAAAACTTCAAACAGAGACACCCCTGCAAGAATTTTGGTAAGTAAACGGTTTATAAGGTGAACACCAGTTGTCACAGCAAATGCCCAAA